GGGGGGGCGCAGCAGGCAGCACAGAACCAGCCCTTACTGGTTGGGATTGAGTGTGCTTCTTAGACCCTCCTCCTACCCACCCAGCTTTCATGAAAAGGCTTGTATGACCTCTCAGAGGATCTGCAGATTTGATTTGAGCATGAGGTGTCAATCTAGACACAGATGTAGGAAGCCAACCAAGACAGCTGGTCAGGGAAGGGGACCCACAGTTCTTCACCTTGGAGCACAACAGGCCTCTACTGCCAGTCAGATCTTTCATGCAATTGCCTGGTCCAGTCCCTGGCAGGAGGTGTCCCCAGGATGAAAGCAGTACCAACTTAGTAGTCCTAACCCAGAGAACAAGGGTTGAATAAGGCCAGGGTGAGGTGACTAGATCCGAGGTGAGCTGTTGAAACTGCCTCTCTTCCCAAAGGGGGCAGAATGCAAAGCACAGCCTACAGCTACCATGGCCTTTTGCACAGAGATGCATCTAAACAACTAAGAGCCGCAACAGGACAGGTTCCCTCTAGGCCCAAGTAGCCAGGATGCATCATGATCTAGGGCCCCTGGTCTGTGTCACACCAGCTGGGTACCATGTTCAAGCTCCTGGTCAGCTGCCAAAACAAACCCAGCTGGGAACTATTCTTGTCGCTGCAGCAGGGACATCGTCCCCACAGAATGTGACCTAGGTGACCACTGCAGCTTTCAGCATGCTGTACCTCTAAGAAGTTATCACCCTCACTGTGCAGGATCTTTCCTTGTCTCCAGCGCTTGAGGAACCACTTCAGCTTCATGAAGAGCAGCAGGAAGTTCTGTTTGAACTGCTGGGACTCCTGCACCAGGAGGTTCTTCTCCTGGCTCCAGAATTTCTGCTCCAAGCGCCTCTGGAGGTTCAGGCTCTGCAACTCAAACTCTCGCCTCAGGAGAGCCTTCTGGTGGTCTTCTTTTAGCTGATGGGGAGGTCAGAATGAGACAGAATCAACAGACTACAAGACAGGTGCTACCAGGATTCTAACCAGGAGAGGCAGGTTTTACAGGAGGATCTGCTGGGTGGAACCATCTTACTGGGTTCCTCACTGCCCATACCAGCAAGTGTCAAGAGACAAAAGCTACTTGTTCTGCCCCTCAAGACCTAATGCATTGAGGATGGCAGGAAAGGGCAAGGGGAAAGGGAAGGAAACAGTGTGTTCTAGGCACAGAAAGAAGAGCCTAAGTTGCAGTACCACTAAGAACACTGCTGGCTGGCTCTGGAGTTGGTAGTGCTGTGGCAGAGCAACAGCAACATGTTAGGAAAAGGGAGAAACATGAGAACACTTGGTGATTGCTCACATGACTATGCATGTGCTTCTACAATAACACCATGCAAACTAAGAGAAGGAAGGGAGTGGTCATGCTTTCACATGAGCTCGCTGTGTGTTGGCACTCTTAGGGATGGCAGGTGCTTGTGCTATGTGAGCATGAAGAAAGGTTTAGGGTCGTGGGGCCCCTTTGGAAGTCTGGAGTTGTTGCACAGACTCCCCTTTCTGCCTGGAAGACAGGAAGGGCATGGGTTACCATGTGCCTCCAGGTCCTGCCTGCTGATGTCTGGATCCTGGCTGTCTTTGATGACTCCCTGTCCCTAACAAGGATCTGTGTTTGTGGCACAGACACCCACCAGGTGCATCCCTGATGCATCTTTGACTGACCTGGCAGATCTTCTGAGAGAAGTTTTCCACTTCATCCTTCCTTAGTTGCCGTTCCTGGGAGAGCTGCTCCTGAAGGCCTTGCAGGCTCTCATTGGCTTCAGACAGCACTAGCTGAAGTTCCTTGATCTGCAGGACAGCAGAGAAATGGTCAGTCACAAGGAAATATATGGGTTTCCCCTACCGACCTGCCCAAGCCCAGCCTGCCCCTGCTGGTCTCCCATGAAAAAGGGCAGACACACTGGGACACTACAAGGGTGCATCAACACAGTCTGAGCTGGGGCTGCTTCAGGTCTTTTGGCTGCTGGTCCCAGAGCAGGGACCAGAAAAGGTGCTTGAGGAGTGACTAGCTAGGCTGTAGTACTGCAAAAAAGGACCTGGGGTTACAGTGGATCATGAGTCAGCCATGTTATATTGGTGCAAAAAAAAGCTGATAATGTGCTAGGATGTATTAAACAGAATGTCATGTGAGGCCTCACCCAGAGCACTGTTTGCAATTTTGGGCACCAGACCTCAAGATGTGGGCAAACTGGAGAGTCCAGAGAAGAGCAACAATAATGATCAGAGGTCTAGAAAACAAGATATATGAGGTAAATTTGAAGGAACTAGGAATTATTTAGGCTGGGGAAGAGGAGACAGGGATGTGATAACAGCTTTGTCACTATGAAGAGGATGGCAAATGATCATTCTGTGTCCAAAGGGAAAGGGACAAGAAGTAATGGGCTTAAATGAACGATCAGTTCTGCCCCTGCCCCAGAGACTCCCATGCCAATGGCACTCCTGGGAGTAGGGGATATTACAGTCCTATGCACTCACAATGCTGATGCAGCCCAGCAGGAGTTCAATCCCCAGCCTGGGGACACCTTGATGTTAACTAGAATTATTCAGCACTCTAAGAGGGTGGTGATTTATTACATTACAGTAGCTCTCAAATACCACAGAGATCATAGTGTCCCAAGCTGAACAGTCAATCCATAGGGCAGCAACAGTGAACCACGCTTCACTTCCTCCTTTTAAGAACAGAGACTGCTTCACTCTTACCAGGCACTCTGGTTTTAAAGCTAGGAAGACGAGGCTAGATGGTGCCTCCTCCCAGAGCTGTTCTCTAGCCAGGCCTGTTTCGAAAGTTTGCTCACATGGGGAAGAATCAGTTTCCACAAGAAGATTTAAAGTGGTAAACCAGATGTATTTGGGAAAAGTCATAGAAAAGCCAGATCCACCCCTGCCAACATGGTGCCCACAGCTGGGCCTGCAGCAGGCATCTGTGTAGGAGGACACAGCCTGCAAAAACAGGGCAACCACCAGTAAGCAGGGGAAACAACTGAATTAGTAGTGTAGGAAGAAGACTATTACACCTTGGAAAGGGAAAGAAAGCCAGGTTGGGAAAACCCTCCTGCCAGAAGCCCAGACAAGTTGTGGCAGTACCTGGGCAAGTGGCAAGGGACCATTGGCGACGCGTAGGGGGTGCATGTGTAGCAGTGAACCCCCTATGAAAAGGCACCACCAACACTGTCAGCAGCGCCTGCAGGCAGTTGCCACTCCCCCCCACCCTCGACACCACCAGTGGCGTCTGCGGGCAGCCACCTCCTGCCTGGTCAGTGCTCACCACCCTCTCCCCTTCACCACCAACAGCACTGGCGGCATCTGCAGGAGCTGCCTGCTTACCACTGACACACTCCCACTGTGGTGCTCCCGCCACCGCCAGTGCCACCATGCCCCACAGCTGCCGGGGCACACATCGTTCATGCAAGGGACCCGAGTGGAGTGCTGGGCTGAGCTAAGTGGGCAACAGGTGATACAGGACCAAACTGCCAGGCAGGGGGGAGGGCTCAACCAAACTGTCACCACAAAAGGGAGGACATGAGAGACAGCATTAGGACCAAGGACGAGTGCTCTGCTTGGCCTGCTTGATGATCACAGGCCTCCAGTGGTTGTGGAGAGACAGGCTCTTGGCTACAGTCATGCAGCCACCTCCTGCCACAGAGAACAGTAAAACTGGTACAGTTTCTAGCCAATGCAGTGGGCTCCTCAAGAAAATAAAACTCTAAGCGATGCCTTTCAGAGGGCTGACCTCTGAGGAGAGGAAAGATGCTAGTGGGCTGCTTGAAGGGTTGCTCTCAGCAGGGCTGTAAGGCAGCCTTGTCTCCAGGAATCCAACCTTGCTCTCTTGCCATAAGAGCAGCTGGACAGTAGGGCAACTGGCTTATGCTGGATGAAAGAGGTGGTAAAGGAGGTGCTGACATGTGGGGAAAAGGCTCTGCTGTGGTGTTCCTGTTCAATGTACCCTTAAGAGGTGGGTGGGTTGGGGAAGGGGCGGGAAACAGAAAAGGGTAACTGTACTGGAATTGCTCCATTGCCCTGACTGGCTCAGCAGACATCTTTCCCCTTGCTCCATTCACCATAGGTAGAAGTGAGCATCTGGTCATCTCTGCTCTAGACTCAAACTACAGTGTCTTACACAGGAGCCTCTTTGTATCTGTTCCCTCTCATTCTGCTGACCCCTTGTATCCACTGGACAGAAGTGCTGGGAGCTCACCAGCTCAGCTGCAGAGCCCCCTGGCAAATCCAGCTCAGCACCCAAGCCAATGCCTCTCTCTTCACTTTGTCTGCCTCTCACCAGAGGGGTGGTGCCAGCCTTAAGCACAATTTATGGGAGAGATTTCAGTGTTCCCTCCCTGGCCTTCCATGTACTGTCACTCAGCCTTCCACGGCCCAGACCCACCTCCTATGGACACCAGGAACTCCCCATTCACCCAGCTCCCACTGTCCCTACACTGCTTCAGCTTCACGTACCTCTGTCATGTAGGATTCACTCTCATCTGGTCTGTACGGTTTGTAGTTCTGGGGGTGTTCTATGTCGGGGTCCAGATCCTTGGTGTTGCTGCTGCGGTAATGGTCGGAGTGCCGACTCCCCCCTCCATCCCACTCCGGGGGCTCCCTAAAGTCAGGCTGCTGCATGCATGGGCAAGTTAATGAGAACAAACCAAAAGAGCGGGAAGAAAAGAAAAACAGAAAACAAAACAATGGGTCTCAGAAACAGTAAAGAACTACAAGACAACAAAAAGGATGAGGAGGAGGAGGAGCTTCATCACCGTGGCAGAAGACAATGTGGAAAACAAAAGGAAACACAGAATGAGGAGACACGTGGGCTGGATTGTTTGGGGGAGGGGAAAAAAGAGAGAGAGAGGGAAAAAATGTGCAAACACCAGTTATGGGGCCATGCAGTGACTGGGGGGGCTGGGAACTTGGGCAAGTTTGCCTAAAGTCCAGCAACATGCAGTAAAATAGAACTCTGACCAAATTAGAGTGTGCTGCAGAGAGGAGCCTCATCGTATGGCCTCCTATGGAAGTCTTCTGCTCTTCAGAGCTGGGAGCCCCCTCTAGCTCCTGTTGTCCCCCAACTGCTCAGGCTATTGGCTCTGTCCTCCAAACCCTAACTCCTCCCACTTCATGTTGGCCAGGCAAGCTGGGCATTGGAACCAGTTTAGTTTAGAAGTTTTGGTGCTGACCACTTCTGGGACCACAGGTGACATGTGGAAAGAACAAATCTCAGCACTCTCCCCAAGTCAGATCCCAAGTGGTATGCAAAGTTGTTTTCAGTGAGAATGTCCCTGCACCCTGAGGGGAGCCTGCATAGTCAGGGTCAAGCAGCAGAGCACAAGCTGCAGCTGCCTAAACCAGATGCACACAGCGGCTGCTGCTGGTCCCAAAAAGACGACATGCCAGAGGCCCTGCACAGCACATTATGAAAAGTTACCTTCCTCATATTCCCTCTAAGAACTCTCTTGTTTGGGAAAAACTTCAGCACATAGCATAGGGGGCTAACAAGTTCTCTCCTTGAGGGTGATTATCTAGCATCAGCCTCCTGCTGTAAGCCTGAGAGCCCACTGGATCCTGAAGACTTTCAGGCTTTTTCATGTAGCACGCCTCTGACTCTCATGCTGATTTCACACAAGCAGGCTACCTAGCCAAGATAATAAGAACTGAGCCTTGAGTTGCTGGGTTCCACTCAAGGGTGGTGTGACACCACATGGGAGGTGTCCAGGGTTTCACTGGGCATATATTGGCCAGTCTACAGAACAGCCAAGACACCTGGGAAGGTCCTCAGCACACTCATCTAGGTTCATACTCAAGAGCCCTGCTCCCTGTGGCATGCAAGACTGTCACCACATGCTAACAGAGCCTGGAATAGATGATGTCCAAACCAGCACTCCTCTGTTTGTCACACTGGGTCTCCACCTTCTGTCCTATGCACACTCCATTAGAACAGAGTCCTATCTTGTCTTTGGGGTCATCATCATGCAGTCAGCGGTTAGTTTGTATTTCGCTTTAGAGAGGTACAAGGGAGGTTACATTACACGTCAGGTTTCGTTTTGTTAAAGCAAGAGAAACAGCATGGCAGATAAAGCAATCATTGCTGCAAGGGAACTGCAGTGACATGGGAAAAACCCTACCTGGAAGTTGGAGCTGTGCTCTTTCCACAAAGCTTCTTTGGTGGAGTCCTGAGAGCCGGAGCTGGGTAGAAAGGAGAAAGACTCTGCCTGTTCCTTCAGGCAGTCCCCAACATGATCCACTTTCCTCATGAAGGAGTTCAGCTCTTGCTGCAGGACACTGAGCCTCATGAACAGCACATTAATTAGCTTGGAGTCATTCATACTTTCGCTGTTGTTATCCATTGCCTCATTTAGCACCAGCTCTGCACAGTCGTTGTCCAGACACACTTTGAGACTGGAGGTGAAGCCATTAGCATCTGAAATCAGGACATCAATTGCTTTGCTGACAAGCACAGCCTGATCCCGAACACCAAGGAGAGTCTCAAAGCCCTTGGATTTAAAGAGCTTAGTGGGGCTGTTGTCCTGAGACTTCCCAGTCCCACTGCCAGGCACTCTCTCCTGGTGGTCCTTACAATCATTCTCTCCTCCAATAGGCACCTCTCTCCAGAGAGGGGTTGGGACACACTGTGCAGAGTCACCAGCCTCAGCGTCAGTCTCCATCATCAACCTCATTGTCTGGCAGGACGCCAGGTCACAGCGCTGCAGGTTGGACAGCAGCACTCGGTTCTCATATTGAAGCTTCTTCACTTTGCCACTGAGTTCACTGATCTGAACCTTGGCTGTGGCCAGCTCCTCTTGGGATGGCTCACTGATCACTGAGCAGCTGTCCTCTGACAGGGTGATGTCCAAGTCATGGTCTGATTTGTACTTGTTCAGCTCATTCATGAGGAGCTTGTTTTGATCCTCTAGCTCCATCAATGACCTCCGCAAAAGCTCTGCCTCCTCCTCCACAAACTGCAGGTGTCGCCTCAGCTCCACAAGGTTCTCCCCAGAGTCCCCACAGTTTGTGGAGGAGAAAGCATACCGGATGTCTTGCCCCATCAGCTCTTTGTCTCCTTGTCCCTTCATGTCATCCATCTCTGCCCTCAACCCTCGGTTTTCAACCTCAAGCTCAACTATCCTCCGACTCAAGATGTTGGCTTCTTCCTCTACAAGCTTCAGATGAACTTTTAGCTCTGCCTCTCTTGAATGAGGAGAGTCAGCCAGTTCCTCGATGGACAAAGAGCTGTCGAGGTCCCCATACAGGGACCTGTATTTCACCAACTCCTCCTTCATGCTGTCGTTCTCTTTGGCTAACTTTGTCAGCTTCTTACACATCAAAGCTGACTCCTCTTTTGCAAAATGCAGTTGACACTTTAAATCTGCGCTGTCCTCCTAGAAGCCAAAATGACACAAGCTTCAGGAAATGCACATTGACAGGCTGCTGTCAATTAAAACATAACAAATATTGTTTGTAATTCTGGTTTTGCAGCAGAGTTACCCAAATTGATTAATACACATTGGAGGAGGTCAGGATACATCTGGCTTTATGCAATCAGTCTGCTGGCAGTTGATAGCCCTGTCTCTAGATTCTTGAAGCACTCATTGCCTAACTCTGCCGTCAGAAACAGGCAGTACATGGGCAGCCTGGATATATAGAGCACATCACTGGGAGCCACAACCTCTTACCTAAGGAAGAACTTGACCCTAATAGTTTATGGGGTATGGAAAGCCATTCCTCTGCCCCAATGTAATTTGTATCAGTTTGTATGCCAGTGTAAAATACACCAGAATCAAAAAGGAGCATGCAGCTGTCCTAGGATAGTAGGCACTATTGCAGTGCCTCATCACTAGGCAGCAGAGAAGTAGATAACTGCCTGTCTGCATTTAGCAAACTGCTATCCCAGGATGGAAGCAGACTGACAAAACATAACCTGACATGATTTACACTGGTAGAACTATTCCCCCCATCTCTTTCAGGTGCAATTCTACATCAGATTGGGCAAAGTTACCCAGATGTAATGGTTTATGTTACCTGGCCACTACTTCTTTATATCAGTGTAATGCTGATTACCCTATCATGAACATGTTTGTCCACACCCACGAAGAAACAAGTTGATCGATTTACAGCAGTCCATCAACAAGAATACATACTTTGGGTTATTTCTACGGAACCCACAAAAACTGAAATACAACTTCCTAAAACTTCAGAAAAAACAGAGGAAGATGAAGGGCGCCAGGAGATGGGGATTGCTGACAACCCTTGTATATTGAAATGGTATTTCCATTGCATTTTAACAATTTCTCCCTAGCTCTTTCAATAAAACAGAGTTAAACTTATTCCAGCAATGTTGGGGGAAAAATAACAATCATAAATAGGTTTCGTCCAAAAAGCAGGGCAAGTGCTCGTGCTGTGCATTACTGCAATTCCTATGGGCTCACTTCTGTACAGCCAACAAAGAATCAGTTATTTAAAAACAAAGCAGCTCCCTCCCCTGGGCTCCTCAGTGCATCCTGTCAGTTTTAGACCTGTGCTGCTTCCACTCTGTGAGCACACAGATATTCTGTAGTTTGTGCCTGGTGCATTGTTAAATACATCTGAACATAAGCCAGAGATAGTATATGGAAAAATAGATCTCATTGGTCTAAGAAATGGAAATAGCAGAAGTAAAATTTCAAAATGAGTTGGAAGTTTTGCTGTACTCCCTACAACCAGTGAAGTCATACCCTGACAATTTCTTCAAGCTTTCGTCCTTTCTGCCACAAATTCTTTGTACATTTGGCCACAGAATCATACCTGGAGAGAGAAATCCTACTAGGTCCCATGAAGCTCCATTCCTCCAAAAAACAGCATTGGGCTACTCCTACAATAACTCCTGCTAGTGTTTATCCAAACTGATTTTAAATTTAGCAATACTAATTCACCAACTTCCTCAGGAGACTGTTCCTCATGCCAAAAGATTTCCTGACGCTCAGCCTACATTTTCCATTTGCTTGGTCTCATTCCACTCCCCCAGTTATCTCCACTCCTGATGTACAAAGGTGGAGCCACACTAAGCAGATCTGACAGACCCAGGCTGTATCACTTCAGCCTTCTCATGTGGTTAGGGAAAACTACTTCCCTGCTTGTCAGTATACCCTAAGCCAGGAAAATGGGATGACGGTTTTGTATGTGAAATACAGAGAGAGCTGGAACTGTTTCAAGTGCTGACAGAGAGCAGAGAGAAAAATCTTAGCTCTGTTGTTTAAGTTACCATCCAGCTTTCCAAATAAAAAACTGTTAGGAAACTGTACAATTAAAACAGTTCTTTACTACACTCCTCCAGTGTTTTAGGCAATGTTTCTCCCATGAATATTACCTCATACAAAGTGACCGTTGGTTGTAAATCTCACTAAACTAATTCATTTCCTGTTTTCATAGCTGGAGAAAGAGAGTTTTCCTAGGAAAACTCTGAGGACTGATGACAAATCCGTCCCAGTGAATGCCTTCTGCTTCATTTAAGTTCTTCTTTCCAGATGGTCAGTACAGTTTGAACATTCAAATTTAGCAGCCCCGCCTGAGATTGCATCAACCTCAGATGAGCAGTAGCCTCTGCAAACTGCCAAGGTTATCATTATCAAACCCATGGAATTTTTACACAAGTCTCATTCACAGTGTAATGAATGTATCTACTCCTTCACAAGTGGGCAAACCCTCAACTACAATGGAGTGGGAACATTAGGTTTCAGTTCAAGTGTGCAGCTCTTGCTTATTTAGGATACAATATTAACATGATCTCAGTAGCTGATTCTAGATCAGCACAACTATTATACATTTAAAGGTACAGAATATGGTCTTTAACATGTTGCATCAGGGCCAGATTTTCAAACAGTCAGCTCCCCAAAACTCCCACTTTGACCTTTGTTGACAGATTATCACAAGAACTCAGCACACAGTGTGCACTTGATGTGCTGAGCTTTTTTGTAAACCTGCACCTTATTTAGGTGCCTAAATGAGAGCTCAGCTACACAGAGAATTGTGGCCTTAGTCTTGCACTTGTAGATCAACGTGCTCAGGACTCATGAGCCAGTGGCCTACAATCATCAAGCCCCACCAGCATAAGTGGTGTGCAGCAAACTTCCATGAGATAGAAGACAGACAGAAACCTACACAGAGAGATCTGCTTAATTCTCACCCAATACCCATTTCATTTGAAAGAAGTCACATTTGGTACTAGACCAATCAGCTACAAGCAGAAAATGCTCCCATAAATTTTCAAGATCAAAGCCATCAGCAGCTATGGTAGACTGCCAGCCATGTTGCAAAATATCCATGCACAGTGCCCCTTCCCCAACAACTACAAGCAAGCAAGGAAGAGGAGTGTGTGCCAACATGGGCAGAAAGAACACTGTCTTAAGATTATTTCCCCATACTCTTCACAACCATCTGATCCTCTCCTAAACTGCACAAGTTACAAGAATTCTAGGTCTCCTGTTAATTATTTATACCTCATTGCAGGCGGACCAAGCACTCCCACCAGGCCCAACTCTGATGAGCTTAAACTTAGAAAGGGTACAGCAAGCGGGCAAACAAGCTGCTGCCAAGCTGGGATAGGATTAACCCATCAACACCCCTTGCTGAAAAATAGTTTCTTTCCAGCTTCCCTCCATGTGCTTAGATAGGAACAGATCATACTCTTGTGATGCTAAGCCTTCACTCCCTCACCTTTCACCTGAGTTGCGAGGGCAGGTATTCATTTGCCACCATCAACTGACAATGAAATGGTCCCACCACAGGGATTTCTGAATCTCTGACAAACACAAACTTGTTGTGCGCCTTCCCATAGCTCAGCCCAGGTCACAGCAGTGGGGGTGCTATCTGTGCTACATAAAGGTAACCGACTGAGAAACACAAGGTTTCTTTTCTATGGGTTGAGTTTGGGTTCTGTTTCACCTTCTCTGTCCCTTGTGTCTTCTCACTGAATGGAAGTGGAGATGACTATTTCAGCTTCACGATGGTCTTCTAAGAATGTACATTATGTTCTTGAAGGCTAGACCACCTTCCAAAGGAGAGCTGAAGGTGGGATGGGGAACACCAATTCCATGTGTAAACACAAAAGGTTTTTACCTTGCCTTAGTTATTGTGTCCAACATTTCTGGACAAATTTGGGGCCTTGTGCTCTGGGGCACACTGAACATCTTGAAGAAGCTCTTCCAACAATCATGATGGAAGAGAAGACACAAATGTAATAACAAAGAAACCAGCAGAAACAACGCTAGCTTTTCCAATGTCATTCCTATTAAACAGGCCTTTAAAAGCACAGTGACAAGCATATAGCAAGCAGATACTGGGGTTTCCTAGTCAGATCTTTAAGGATCTTTCTGGTAACATGCATCATTGTGGTCAACAGATGAACCTGATTTACCCTCCCTACATATGCCTGGGGGTGAAAGATCTGTAAATTTCCACCCCCTGAGAGGATATAACATTTTCCCTAACTTGGCAGTGAAGATAAAAATCACTATTTCACATCTAATTTTGTATGTGTACATGCACACATCCTCTGCTCCAAGAGAGGTGTTGGGCCAGCTTGTATAGATCAGCTCCACTGGTTTCAAAGGAACTGTATTGACTTATACCAGCTGGGGATCCTGTTTTGTGAATGTGCATACATAGGAACACCAATTTTACCTTCACCACAGACTTGAGGAGAGCCAGTTCATTAAATAATTAGCACTACAATGCACTGTGGCAAACTGGAATTTCCTGTAGCATCCATACATTATATTGTATAATTTTTAGTGAACACTTTTGGTAATATGGCTACACTTTTGGCCTTATACCTAAAGTACAAACATTCTACTGCTATTGGGGATCAGGTAGCACAGCTCCCAAATGTGATATCAAGGCACTTGCATATGAGGAAGAAAACTGAAACCAACATAAGGTTTGACTCCCCACAACATTATACCCATTCATCCCTCCTGTTTCTAAGATGCTGATGCTTACCTTTGAAAGAGCATTTTATGAGCAATAAAATACTTTCATTTATGCTGTTACAATATCAAGACTGCCTTTACACCCTGGTAATGCAACTAAAAATCACAGCAGCTGAACTCAGCAGTAAATGAAAGACAAGGTACTTCCACTTGCCACCAAATGCAAAAGACACTGCCTGCCCATATCTTATGCATTTGTTCTGCAGCCTCGTGGTATGGTGGGGACATGGGATTTGTGACACTTGAGCTCTGTGGGCCAAACGGAGCATGCCTGTGGCAGAAGCATGAGCAATGGCCCACCGTGCAGGGGTAAGTTTATGCCAGGCATGCACAGGTAGGTACCTTGTCGGCAGGAGCTTGGGTTGTATTCCTCTGGCAGGGCTCAGCTCAGCTTTTCAAAATATCAATCTAATGTCAGTCTGTTAAACATGAAAATGCTAAAGCAAATCATTCTTCAAATACCTCACAGTGTCAGAACCACCCAGAAGGGAACATTATCACTATTCCAGCAAGCAGCAACAGTCTTCTCACAAGGTGCAACATACAGAGTCAGACCTAAAGCCATGATCTAAAGCTTGGGCACTTAGCTACAAACTGGGTCTGGTTCAATTTCTGGTTAGCAGAATCTCCTCACTCTTGAAGGAACTTGAGCTGTTCTGAGCCCCTTCCCCTTCCTTGTCTCTCCAGACTTGCTTTCCAGCTTTGTGTAATGGCTATTCTCCATCACCTAGGGAGCTCTGGATGATCCCACCACTATGAACCACACACTTGCGCGTTCCCCCCCGCAATCTGAGACAGGGGAATGTCTACTCTTTACCACGCTCAAGAAAGCTCATTTATTATCAGGAGTGTAGAAGCAGATGCTGTTTGCTCCAAAGCTATCTGACATTTTGAATGTGTCCCCAAAGCAATGTCAGCAGGCAGATCTCTGCGACCATAACAGCAGCCTTGTCCTACTGCACAGAGCTAGCTGGCCACCCCATAGGATTCCAAGTGCCTTGGCAGCTTACAATTGAAGGCCTAAAAACTTTCTTCCAAACTCTTCCTAATTTTCAGTACATCCCGATAATCAATCTCCATAAGTCAACTCTAATCACTAGAATTACTAGAGCAAAAGAATGCACTTCCATGAGCAGCACAGGCTGTAACTACAATCCATAGTGTAAATGTGGTTCAGTTCTCCAGTGTCTTCTGTGGCTACCATGTCCAACATATGGACAAAAGTTGTCAGTATACAGGTACCTGGTATATGAATACCTGAACTGATGGCTTCTTTTCAATCTTCCCAATAGAACGAGATCCCCTTTTCTTCAAGGAATTCTGTAAAGAGAGGAGGAAATGATTATTTAAAGAAAATCTCCATGCCTTCCTTCCCAATTAACCCCAAAACAGACATTTCTGCTTGTGTGCACAAAGGTACCTACTATTTAACATCACTTACCACAGGTGACTGACCTGCAGTTCATGCATTTTCCCAGGGGTCCTGATATATGGTACAAAGCATTCAGTATGAGCTGCTGAGTAATGAAAGCAAAACCTGAAAGATTAGCTTCAACCTCTTCCATCACCAAAAAGCCAGTCTAACAGTTTACAACACTGTATTCACTTCCTTTTCACTGCAGCCCTGTTGAGCATGAGGTATCCCATTTGGAGAAATCGAGGTCCCATGAAGCTAAATCCTATTTCCTTTTTGCACCTAAATGACATGTACTAAGGCCACGCAACTGTGGCTCCAAGTATGTACCTTCTGTTTGAAATTCAGTGCGTGATGGAATGGGTTGCATACTGGCCAGGCATGCATGTGGCAAAACAGGATTGACTCCACCATATACAAGTCCCTGAACAATCTCAAAATACTAGTCATAAGAAAACCATAACTAACAGGTGCTAGACACCAGAGGAGGAAGCCTGCTACTTTTTAGCTTAATATCCCAGCAGTTAGGCACTTGAAGACCCAGATTTTAGGCCTACTTCACCTAGAGGGGAACTAGTATTTCCTGCTGCTTAGAAGGGTACTGTAGCCACCAGGCCACAGGCTAGGTAGTACTTAAAGCCTTTTCTCCAGCTTGAAACTGGCCACTAGGCAGCCAAGAGAGAAAGATATGTAGAGCCAGAAGAAAGCAATCAAAGCAGAGTGTGTTTGACTCAACAGAACAGCTTCTGCCCTAACAGGAAGAAGACCCAGAGTTCTAGCCTGGACCCTTATTCCCAACGGAGAAGTCACTCCCCCACTGCTATCCATTAATTTTATCCCAGGAATACTTTATGCACTAAGTGCAGGGGGTGAGCTTCAAGAAGAGAGCTAGAGGGTCTAGCAATGCCTGCATCCTCTGCACCAGCTCCTCCAGCCACAGAGGGCTTTTCTAAAGGACCCAGTATAGGAGTACACACACAGCTGGGTCCCCAACACTCCTCTCTTGCCCCTAGCTACACTAGCATTGCTGGGAGGACTGTTGTCAATATTATCCTGTCTATGACAGAAATGTTTCACTGCCACGTCGCACACATGCCCTGAAGACAAAGTAGGAAGTCAGACTGCAAAAATATCCAGTTTCCCTGGGAGCTGAACACCCCTAGTTGAGAAGACTCTCTCTCCAACTCGGGCATTTTGTCTTGGGATTTGTACATGACATTGTTCCAAAGGCAGCTGTGGTAATGTTGGTAACAAACCATCTGCTATGAATGTTATTCCCCCCCACCAATCAGATTCAGAGTTCTAGTTGCCAGCTCTGAACATGGTGAAGCTGGTAGTCTCTTATCCACAGCAGGAGTGAGTTCCATACTTGTACCTCATGCAATCACAACATCCCTTCCCACTCGTCCTCAGCTGACAGTTCCACTGTTGCAGTAGAACATACATTTCATCAGAGATCCTGGAGGTATAGGCAATCTTTCCAATAGATCTTTCAAGCACATCAAGCCTCAGAGCAGTTTAAAAATCAGAAACGCACTCTTAAACTGCACAGACAGCAGAGCAGTGGTTGATGTACTCCCTGCAACCTATGTGGCAAAACAAATAGGCTTTGGGTTTTGTACCAACTGGAGCTTTTTTAAGGTATGGGGCTTCTTTCCTAGCCATAAGCTGCAGCAGGTCTGGGGGTCACAAAGGCAGAGAGCAGTGGCCACATAATGTGACCAATAATGCAACCAGAGAAGAAATGGGCATTTTTGCTGCCGTGTCTGTTGGACGGACAATAATACTGAGGAGTCCATAGGATGCCGAGATGCAGCCCAATAACCTAAGGCTAGATGCAGGTCCTCCAAGTACTTTTCTTATTCCCTGGATCATTTTAGCCCTGGCTGGGTAAAGTAGCTTTTGTCTAGAAGCTGGCCTTGTAGAGAGTGAGGAGACAGTGCCAAGTCTTATCTACAAACTGCAGACATTTCAGTACTGTTGTGTTCTCTCACCATGGGCCTTAAAGAGATTTTATGCAACATGGGGGAGAGGATTATCATATTTGTATATGAGAAAGGAGGCCATCCCAAAAAGAACAAGGCTGGGCTTCTGATATGTCTAAGCCAACAGCCCAACTCAGGAGATGGCCTGGAGCCTGCTTGCTACAGCTTCTCGATTTGCTTGCTTCTGCACTGCAGCTCCATTTTGTGATGTCACTGACATGGAACACTGGTTTTACTAGTTCTGGCAAGGCATGTTTGTGGCTGTGGGCAGATTCTTCTGGTCAAGGAAGCAGCCGTTGTCAGGAGACCATCTCTCTGTCGGTGAAGACAGGAAACGCTCTCTTCTCTTTCCCAATTTAAGGAAGCATCAGAGCTATGGCTGGTGACTCAGACTAACACCATTGCTTCCACAAGTCCATCTCGTGAGGATGGGCCAAATCCTTGGAAGGCCTTCATCAGGCCTCTGTTGTGGTGCTTTCTGCCCATAAAGCCACCCCAAAGGTAGTTGATACTTGCCATCTTCGCAAGTATCTGGGACTAAGGGAAGGCAGCCTGGGTTTTCATTATATTTGCCCAGCTGGTATACATTCAGGGAGAGTGGCTGAACTCGAGCAACAGAGCCTGCCTGGAAAGGTGCATGTTCCATGTTGCTCTCCCCTCTGCATGAGAAAAACTGTTTGGTGAAGCTCTTCCAGTCATGAGCCTGCTGCTGCTCCAAAGCTATCCTTGTTGGCAGGAAGAAAGGAAGAAAAACAGTCCTGTAGTAGCATTCACCACAGGACAGGTTCTGAGTAAAAATAGGAATGATTAGGAAGAAGGAAGCAGGCTGAGGGCTGGCTCTGCACCTAGGCAATTACCATACCTTTCAGAAGCTTAAGAGAATGGGGTTCACTGGAATCCAACTGATGGCCAAGACCTATCTTCAGAGCTTAATGACAGATCCGTCAAGACACAGAGACAGCAGGATGGGCTAAAGCCAATAAGATCTAGGTGACAGACAATGGAAGAAGAGCTTGAGGCTCATGTCTAAGTAGACAATAGTCTGCATAAAAAACCTAGAGGGTAGAGTGAACCTGCTAGGTTCTTTCAGGTCAAAAAACCTGACTGAGTTATCAGGACCAAGTAACCAGAACAGATTGGTCTGTGGTACCACAAACTGCACAAATGCTGGAAATCTTGGGTGTCAAAAAAAACCTGTGCTAGAAAAAAGTGGGACAACACACAGTCGCACATGGTGCCAGTGTGTACTGCCTGAAAGCAGAGCCTAGCCAGTCAGAGCCATTCTCTGGCTGCCAGGAAAGCTCCAGCTGCCAGCCAGGTTCCCCATGCTCAGATCACCACCCCGGGAGGCCTCCAGAACCTTAGGTAATGCTGCTGGAGCCAGCCTAGGTGTAAGCCCCAGCCTCCCCTACCCGACCCAGGGTAACTTGCCACAGGCACAAGTGCAAGGACATTCCCCAGGGACAACTAGCAGTGGCACAAATATGTGCTGCTGCTATTTGTCCCCAGAGAACACACATTCCCACTCATGGGGACATGCCCTCTGGGTGATCTAAGAAGCTGTCAAGTGGTGCAAGGCTGTGACACTCAGGTGCATTCCCTACAGAGCAATCCTGAAATGTGTTCCACATGCTGTGAGGGGGAGGCCCAAGAGCAGAGCAACTCCGCTTCTCCAGCTGCTGGAAAAGAAACCAATTTACCTGCTGAATCAGGTGATCTCGGCCAATTACTCCAGGCTGGGACCTAGTGTTTTCAGCTGGAAGGGAGATGCAAGCTCATGACTGGTAAGGTCCCCCATAAAACAGATTAAGTCTCTGTCATCATGGTTGCAGCTCTACGTTATTTGCCCCAGGCAAGAGGTGAACCACTTGTGCAGGACTCAGAAATAAAATAAAGTTCTCAAAGGCAGTTACTGAAATCCCTGCCCACTTAGTCACATGGCTCCAATGTAGACCACAGTCCCATGGCTGTCATCTTCTCCAATACATCACACTGTATAGTTACTGACTGAAGAAAGTGACATTTTGTGAGAATTTAGGCTTTCTTGGCTCTATCAAACAGCAAGCAGCTTATAGATTCATAGACATTAGGGCTGGAAGGGACCTCGGAAGATCATCGAGTCCAGCCCCCTACCCAGGGGAAGGAAGTCAGCAGGGATCTTAGGATCCCAGCAAGATAAACATCCAAATGTCTCTTGAAGGCATTCAAAGTAGGTGCTTGAACCACCTTCGGCGGCAGTCTATTCCAAACCTTGGGGGCTCGGACAGGAAAGCAGTTCTTCCTTATGTCCAGCCTGAAACAGTCCTGGAGGAGTTTGTGACCGTTCAACCTTGTCATCACTTGGGGCACTCTGGTGAACAGACATTCCCCCAGATCCTGGTGAGCACCCCTGATAAACTTATAGGTGACCACTAGATCACCTGTGCTTTCCCAGGCTGAAGAGTCCCATGGCTCTCAGCCTCTCTTCATAAGGTCTGTTTTCCTGAACTCTGATCATGCATGTGGCTCTCCTTTGCACTCTCTCAAGCTTCTCCACATCCATTTTGAATTGTGGAGCCCAAAACTGGATACAGTACTCCAGCTGTGGCCTCACCAAGGCCAAGTACAATGGAAGAATGACGTCCCGGGATTTGCTTGAGAAGCATCTATGGATGCAAGTCAGCATTTTGCTCACTTTACTAGCAGCAGCATCACATTGAAGGCTCATGTTCGTCTTGTGGTCAATCATGACCCCCAAGTCCCTTTCATCTGTAGCGCTAACCAGCGTAGTACTGCTGAGTCTATAAGCATGCTGCAGGTTTTTCTTTCCAAGGTGGAGAACCTTGTATTTTTCGGTGTTAAATGCCATCAGGTTCTTGACCACCCGTTTCCTGAGCCTGTCAAGGTCAGACTGGACCACCCCGCTGTCCTCAGGTGTGGAC